CAGATACATTGATGCTTTATGAAACAGAGGCAGAGATATATTTATTTGCTCCTTCTCCTTTCTTTGGAAACATGTTTTTCTGGTAAATATTTGGAGGCAGGGTCTGGATTCCACAGCTGTGCGGCTGACCCCCCCCCCCCCCCCCCCTCCCACACACACACACACACACACACTTGGCCCTGGTCTGGGGTCAAAGGGCACTCGGTGTTTTCCTTCCTGCAGACTTGTAAGAAACGCAAACGCAGCCCAGAGTTGTTTTTTTTCCTCATGTACAAAAAACCCGTGAGCATAATGATAAGGAAGGTGTGATTATTCTTATTTTTCCACATTGTTTTACTTGTGTGAATGGAAAGTGCCTACTTAATATGACGAATACACTCTGCTCTGTTGCAGTTTCCCCAATAAAAAGTGTTGTTGGAGCTCTGAAGTTGAATCCTTGTTTTATAAACCGAAGGGTAGGTGGTTTGATAGTGAAGCTTTTGTCTAGAATGCATTTGAACACATTTTAAGGTTAACATTAGCAGCGTTTCATTCGGATAGAGGGAATCTTTTCATATTGCGGAGGAGGTTGAGGAGGTTTTCTGCCTCCGGGCGTGGGCCGAGCTCACGGTCAGTCTGCTCACCTCCGGCCGCCCTGCCGTTGGTCTGGCCCTGAGTGAGCGTCTGTCTCCCAGGTTTCCTGTGAGGTCAGGGTCTGACCTGTGAACTTCCAGGAGCTGTGACATCGTGAGTGATGACCCCCGGTGACCAGACGCTCACAGGCTGCAGGTCACTGGCCGGACTGCAGACAGGGAAACAAACACAAAGAGTGCAGCTCATGGGCTGGACTTCTGACCAAAAGGCCATGTAAAGCAACATGTTTGCTTAATATTACATTCAGAATCCCTTTAAGATACACAGTGATGCTAATATTCACTCATGATTTAATGATACGGGTCGAGTTTGACTTATTCCAGATGTAACCTCGGAATGGGCTGTAGGACATAAAGACGGCTGGAGGATGGGGTGAGATGAGAGGTCTCAGTCCATGAGAAGGAAAACAAACCGGTCACCCGGGATTTTCAGAGATGACACCTATTTGTTTCCTCCATAGAGAGAATGCTGATCTGTCGAAAGGGTAAAAAAAAAAGAAAAAATCCACCATGGTTACATGATGCTTTCTGTGGAGACAGAATCAAATCCGATGAGCTGAATTTTCCCTGATTTTGCTTCATTCTGCTCCCCTGAGGAGAAAAACCACAGGAAGCAGAGAAGTCTTTAGACATGAAGGGGGATTACGTCTCATAGAAAGAAGGCAGGTTTGGTTGTTTCACACACCTTTAAGTCTCTTTCGTGTAAAGGTTAGAGGCTCACTTTGTGTCTTTACTTGACATATATTATTATTTTGCTTATGTAATTTGATTTTCTTTTTGATTACCATCTATTTGCTGTTACATTCTTCATATGTCTTGGATTAATTTCTCTTCTGAGTCCATTCATTCTGATTATTTCAGCATCCGTCTTATCAAATCCATGAAGAGAACGTGGGGAAATTTCTTTTAAGACAATGCAATTATTCATTTTTGCATGGCATCATTTCATAGAATTAAAGAGGTTTTAGAATCATAATTTGACCAGAGCATGATCTGTGATTGTGAGAGAAGTTGCTGGGAACTAAGGTGCTTAATTAAATAAATTGATGCTGGTGTTCGATTATGATGGCTGCTGGTTTTGATTTTTGTGTTTTTGTAAAGCTTAATTTCTCTTAAGAAAAATGGATTTTTCAAACTTTGGCACAGAACGATTCCAAACAGGGATGCTTTGGGTTGTTATGACAGATTTCCTCCAGAAGGGGGCAGCATCAGGTAGCACAACACGTGCTCGTGGGTTTTTGCTGATCTCCTGATCTTGACAAATCATCTTTGAGGATTTGGGAAGTTGGTAATAGCCACTCAGCTCTGGTAAAGTGAATGTAAAAGGACACAGTGAAGTAAATTCCTAAAACAGAGCTGATATCCACACATCAGGAAACTGACCACTACCACCACCACAATGCTGCACATCTGGTCATCACCCCATCTCTTCATGTCTGCTGAGACCTGATGCAACTAAATGTAAAAAGAACCACGAGAAAATCAAAACTAGAGAAGCTGTCAAAAAATGTTTCCCCTGATAAATATTCATGTTTATTTTTTGGTTTGTGTGTTTGTTACTGAACCGCTGACCGTTTCTTACTCTCCTAAAGTTCTCTTCAACTTACACCAAATACAAAAAAACTTAGGTTAATTTAAATTCAGCAGTCGATATTCTCCAGTGGAACAAAACGGAAGAGAATAATAGGGTGATATAAATGGATAATTGGTGTGAGAGATATTTTTACATCGCCAATTATTCATTCTTCGGAAACATGGAGATGTTTTCTTCTCTTGCAGGTCTTTAAGCGAAAAAAGATGTCCTCATTAC